GTTTTTTTCCCCCCCCCCCCCCCATTAAATATTTACTGTGGTACCATGTATAGTCAGAGTTATCTTTAGTCCCTTCCAACTGCTTTCAGTGTCGCTTTGGCTTTCAGTTCTCAGCAGGTATCAAAGGGTGCTGCTCTGACAACCTGTTTGATGTCTGTGGTATAGGCATTTTTAAATCTACAATGACTGTGTGCCTAGATTTTCATATGGTAATTAACTTTGTATTATCCTGTATGGTCGAGATCTCAGAAAGCTATATTAGGATGCTTCTTCAATTACTTAAGGAATAATTAAATTTACAAATTTTGTTCCCCTCTTTAGTTCCTCTGCAAGTGGAAAGTAGAACTTGTGTATATGCAGAGTCATGTAAAGATTTAATTGCTGCTTCTTTCAGTGCCACCAACAATTTGAGACTGCACCTCTCATTTAGAAACTTTTCTGTCACTGATATTTGTCTTGTGTTATTGTCCCTTCAGAATTGTAAAATTTTGTACCAAAGACAAACTTTTTTTTAACAATTCTACTTAGGGTTTTCCATGAAGCTGCTTTCAAAACAGCTTGTAGGCTTGATACCTTAGGTGTTGTTTGGGAGTACTGGGATATTTGTTTTACAATATAGCACCATCCCATCCAGCAATGATATTACAGGAATCATACTCATGATTGGCATCAATGAGTTAAATTCATCTTAGTATATTTTTATCCCCCAAATTCTCAAAGGCATACTGGACAGGAAGGATGACTAGATGCTTGAAGGCTCCTGTCAGACTGAGGAGAACTTGTCTACTGTTGTTGCCTGTCTCCTCAGCAAGGTGGAACTGTGTAGTGCATACAGTTACTAGTTCCAGCAGACAGATGCAACTGATGTAGGGTGCTAGGTAGTGTTTGTCATGTAACTGTGTTGTCCTGAAATGTGTTGGAAAGTAGCTGTAATATAGAACTGCACCTTGTGCAGAACTTGAGGTATGAAGAACATCAGGGCTTTGGGCTGAGCAAACTGAATGCAGGCATGATTACATCAGGTGACATGTCTGTGATGCTGTTACTCTGCTCTAACCAAAGTATGTCATGTTGCTTTTCACTATTTAGGTTTAATTTCTCGTTTTTCCTTCAGATGGTTAGCTGGGCTTTTTTGGTTTGTTTTGTTACTTGGCTCTGATTTATGTACTGTTTGGATCCTGAGTGTCCTGTGGGCTTTCCATTTTATTTGGAAGTATTACATTTTAAAGTCTAAAACAAAACCTATCAACACATTTTGTTTGAAATGTTTCATATTTATAGTTCCCTAAAATTCTGTTTTCTTTATCTTCCCTGTCACATGGGAGCTTGGAAGGAACACACACATCTCTAATGCCAGTGTTGCAGATTAAAAATAGTTCTCCTCCACCAAATGCTAACAGCTGGTTGGCTTTGTTTTCCAGCTGAAGATGCATCCTATAGTATTTGTGTTTTCCTGCTGTTGCCAAATGTTCATGGATCAAGCTCTGCAAGTTTTACTTGTAAATTCTGTTGTAATACTAATTACACTTTAACTGCATTTCTGTGAGGCTTTTCACGACTCCAGTCAAGCACCTATTACCCCCTTTTGCAGATAAGTAAACAGAAGAAAGTGGTAGAGGGAGGTGCTTGGTGTTGATTTAAATGACAAAGAAGATAATCAGCGCTGCTGTAAGCCAAGTGTTCAGTCAACACAAAGGTGTAGTGGCATTTATGAGAAGAGGTTCTGTGAGTTGTGCTCTCCGGGGATAAACCCCTAACCTTTGTTCTTTTCCTTTGGTTGAAGCAATTCAGCCCAAATACTGTGGGAAATCTCTTGTCATATTGAAATGATAACAATTGCCTATTAAAATCATTGTCAACTTTGCTTTTCACCAGTGATGGAAAATGTCTAAACGTTTTATTTCAAGAAAAAAAAAGCATTTGTAGCAATGTTTTAAAACATCGATTTGTGTAATGCTGTCAGTGGACAACATTGTATACAAGGACAAGTTATTTCAGAACTAAATAGGATATCATATAATAGCTCTTCTGTTTTTCCCCATCTTGAAGTCGTCAGCATAACTATCTTACCATCTTAGAAGTGAATCTGCCATTTTATTTTATTTTGGAAATTCTTTCATAATGTCTGGTAGTTAAAGTGGTATTGCCTTCATATACATGATCCATGATGTTTACATTTTAACATAAAAGCTGAAGCAACTAGTGTAAAACCCGGAGAAACCCCAAGAGGTAATAAAATTACAGATGGCAGTGGTGTTCATGTGGAAGTAATTATATGCTGCATTTTTAATTGCATAAAATCAACATATTTTATTTGATTAATATATTTGGCTTGTTGCTTGTATAGGGATTAGTGTCTTGTGTGGTATAAACCTGAAAGTTAGTTTATTATCATGCATTATGTAATATGATGTGGATCAGTTTCAGGAATATGCTCTAAGCAGAATCCTTTCTATACTGGTTGTACTGGAGAGATTATTCCTGTTGCCATATGAGCTTGAAATTGCCTTGGGTATGCAAAAGAAAAATCTAGTTAAATGATAACTCATTTAATACTCTGTGGTTTGTGTTTATGGAAAACAGAATTCCTCAGGATCTTCTGAAGGGAAACAAGAGTGTGCCAAAGGTAATTTGTGTTGAGTGTTAGGGATGGTAAAATTATATCTAACAGACGTTTGTAATTTTTTCAGGTAATAGCTCTAGCAGATGCAGCAGAAGAAAATCAAGCCAACATGTTCCAGGCATTCACAAAGTTGAGAAGTGCCACCCATCTGGTGATTATGCTGCTTAGTCTGTGGCAGAAGCTGAGCACTGATCAAGTTGCTATTCTGGAAGCTACGTTTTTGCCATTAGCAGAAGACACACAAGAGCTGGTAAGAAACTGTAAGAACTGCTTGAAAAATGCTCAGCGACAGGCATTTGAGCACTGAAATTTGCCTATTTCCCCATCTACCTTGAAAACTGTCCTTTAAAGTGATTTAGGAGCCTTATTAAGTAGATGTTTGAGGCAAAATATATTCATTGACTTCACAGAAAAAGGGGAAAGCAGGAGTAGATCACAGAATGTTTCCCTAGAAGGTGTGGATGATACCAGTTAACTTCCACTTAATCCTTCCTTATCAAGCCAAGTAGGAGTGTCTCAAGTTTAGCTGGGTTTAGCTTCTGTCCAGTTATTAGTCCAAATGGAATAGCCCAGATTTTTTGAAGATTGTTAATATAAATGCTGTATAATACACATACTTGTGGACTCACATGCACACATCCCAACAGGACTATAAAATACAGACATATACACACATTTGTAATGTATACTATACAGTATATTTAATCTATTGAGCATTTGCTGTACTTTGTCCTCAGTGTTTGCACCTTGGTTTATATAATGGATGAAAGTTATACAAAGAAAATACTGTGAATAGATAATGTACTTGTGTTCTCAAACTGTGCTCTAGATAGTCGTGCATTGTGTAGATATCTTACAAAACTCTGCTCTGATCTAGTGAGTGTGGCTGTGAAATTGTGTGCAAAATTTGGACACTGGTCTATAAAGGATATTCTATCTACCTTTCTTGTATATCTATAATCAGATATAAAGGAAGTATTATATTCTCACCTAAGCTCCCCAGCTAAATACTGCTTTTGTTGAATTAAGGAATGTTATAAACTTAAAACAACTAGAGTTGGTCTCCGGTTTGATTCAAGTTCAACCTTCCTGCTGCATTCTAGAATAAAGGACTTAAAAATAGTGTGCCACAGTTAGAAGAAAACTAAATCCTGACGTTAGTACACTCAACAGTTTCTAGGCACATGAGCTATAAAATATACTGCATGACCTTTCACAAATGGCCTCTGTGGAATAAAAAATAAGAATTATCTAGCTTCACATAAATTTTAATATTCATGTTCTGCACAAAGTTTCTGCAATGTACAGTGAATTCAGATTTTGGTACATCAGAATACGTGGAATGGTTTGTGGCCATTTAGAAAGCTTGTGCTGGGTTCCAAGTGGATCATTTCTGCCTGGTGTGGGGGTGACAATGTTTTAACGTTTTACATGATTTTGACCCATAGCAGGCAAAGCTAAAGAGTTTTGTTGAGACTTGTTTTGGATTTTGTCTTTAATTAAACTTGAAAAATCAAGCTGCATGACTGAGGAGCATGCATTCCAGTGAGTGGAATTGAAACAGTTCAGATGAATTCCATGAAAGCCCAACCAACCATTTTTTGCTTGACTCCCTTTCATTTTGCCATCAGGAATTGCATTGCTTTGACATATATTTTGATAAAACATAGTGAAATCTGTCACATATCTTATAATAAAGGATATCACTTCAGTATATATATCTCGATGTGGTTTTGATATAGTAGTTAACAATGTTCCATATTAAAGCTGTAAGACCTCACATAAATATTGTAAGGACGTACATCCTGCAGAGCAGCCAGGATGAAAAATGTAAACCAACAATAACTGGAGGTGGAAATGGAACCTTTGCAAAGTACTGAAATATGTGCCATATTGAAGTTGTTACAGTACCACAGAAATCTGAATGTAATTTAAGAAGAAGTTTAGACAAGGAAGAGGGAAATCTTCTGACATACCGATGCTATTTACAGACAGAAGCTCCTAGCTAGCATTCAGATTTCTTTATAAGCAGTCGAGTGGAATGCTAGTGAAAGTACTCTGAAGAATTTTTATTTACTCTTCAAACAATTCTGCACAATGGTTTGTTGTGTTCTGATTTGGAGGGGATGTGTTAGAAGACAGACTGTATGTAGTCTGCATCTCCAGAAGGTTTTCTGCCTTGTGAGCATTAAACTATGGAAGTTTTTTTATTAAAAGGGAAATGTTTAGAATATACTGTCACCATAAAAAGAAATGCTTCTCTGACCGTAACATCAACATTATTCTCGTATGTGCCATTCCATTTAGAACAGATTGCATCTTGTTTTCTAGACCTGGCAATAATTTCTGTTAGATATTTAGCAAATACAAAAGCAGTGTTTTGTGTTCCCATTATCACCAGCTTTTTCTTAGACTACTAAATGGTTTTTGTTGCTGCAAATATTTGTCTAAGATAATGTAAAATTTGGGTTTTCTTTTCTACAGAGATGTACTGGAAGTAATACTGTAAATTTGCATATTTCCTGGGAATAACAGATATTTGAAATCATACTTTATTTCCATAGGTAAACTTCTAGCTAACACCTAAATAATATTGCTTTGATTAATCTGACTAAAGGAGTTGCTCTTGTTCAATATTGGCAATATAAGGGCATTCCCATTTTTCAGTGATTCTTTCATGAATTCTGCACTGTGTAAGAAGTAGAACATTAGGAATTGAATGAGATCTCTCAGGTCTCTGCTTTTGACCAGTGGGATAAATGAGCTAATCTTTCTGCTAATGAAACCATTAACAAAGTGATGCCAAAATTCTTTTTTAAAATTCATCTTTTTTGTACAGAAATTTGGTGCAGTTTTGTCCAATGTACTTTGTTACCATGGGACTAAAGTTAAACCCATATTCAAAAAACTGAGGTATATATTGTCAGTATTTCAGAGGGTAGTGTTACAGCTCTGTGCAAACTATACTTTAAAATGGATACTGCTTTTGTGTTGTATGTTTTGCTATCTGTTGAAATATATATATAAAACTATTTTAGAGGGCTTTTGAAGACCAAAGAATCCATGATCACCATAATAACACAAATGTTGTGTCAGATTTTATCATGCAGTTCACTTTTTCTGGGGAGAGTTGGTGACTGCTCTGCAAGACTGGCATATTTCCTATTAGCTTGTAAGAGGGACTGACAACAATTTAAAGTACTATGTTATAGTAAAGACTGAAAAATGAAAACAAGAAACATTTTAAGGGGTGTTTCTCAGTGGTTATACTTTACCAAGAGGATTTATCTGGATGGAAAAAGATATTTGAGAAATGCTGAGTTTGTGATAAAGCACATGTTTACAATAGGAAATCCTTTTAGGAAAGAAGGGAATTTGTCCAGGCTAATTTAAAGGGTTCAAAGGGTTCATGCTACACGAGATAGTTTTGATATAGTGGTTGCATGGCATCTGGATTGACTGATGGCTCCTGTGCCTGATCATTAAGCTATTAATGCTTTCTTTGTTTAAGATATTACAAAGGGAAAAAAGGTCTGTCCATACTAACATTCTAACTTTTGGACTGATGGAGGGCTCTCAGCAGTATAGCCATCAATAATAACTTTACTGAAGAGTAAATATTTTCATAGTTCTCATGATGTTACCAAATAGACAGTAATTATTTGGTAACATCATACATAGCTTGATAACATCATATATAAAGCACCAAATATAGGTGCTTCATTGCTCAGAATCAACCCTTTCTTGTTATACTCACATTTGTGATACTATAATAGTGACAGCTATAAACTGGCATTGAGGATGTACATTTTCATCTCCTTTTATTTATGTTTGGAATCGTACCAACCGAGTAAATGTCTGTAGTCAATCTTAATTTCTTGTTGAAGTTGTAATTTGGAAGAAAAAAAAATGCCTGAGGGTGAAATGCAGATTTTTAAGTGACTCTATGATCTAGTTAATTAACTTAAGTTAGTGACTATAAATTTGCTACTTTACAATGCTGATTAGATAAAATAGAAAAATATACTTTAAGGCGTTGAGGAAAAAGAGATGGTGTCAGAAGAAATTAATGAAGTGCCTAGTAAGAGTCATAGGAGTTACCATCAAAACTGTGCCTTTGGTAAGTGATGATCTGAATATAAATCACCAGAAAAATAAAAGCTCAGTCACTTGTGAGAATAGGTAGCCTACTAGGTTTTGTGCCTGCTAGCAGATGGGTTTTGCTATAGAGTTCTTGAGTAAAGTAAAAAATACCCTTTTGTGGAAAGAATCCTTTACTGAGTGAAAGTCCTTAAAATGAAAAATTAGGTTATTTCTGTAATTTCAGGAGGCTAATTCTGTCAAGGCTGACAGTAGCCAACTTTTTCTTGAAATTTTGCATTAATATTTAGTACCATTGAAGCTTTGAGCTGATAATTACATCTTTGGCAGAGTAATTTTAATGAACCCTAATTCTTAGAATTGATTGGAAGTTGTCACTTTTCACTAATTCTTGTAATTAGACTATAATCCAACCTTGGTCTTAGTCATAGTAAAATATATCTGGAATTAGGTTTTTTTGTGCCTTATATTTTCTATAGTCTCCCATTTTAATAACTTTTTAAATGCAAAGTTCCAACTGTATAACAGATTAAAATATTTTAAAATAGGCTGAAATATTTTTTTATTTTACTGTTTTCCATAGGCCAGTATAAATGATCGTTTGGATATTTTGTAAATACTTTTGAAATTTCTTCAACAAAACCAAAAAAAACCCCAAACGCAATGAAAAAACCCCAAACCACTACAAGGCAATGGGCAGTGACAACTGGTAACTTGCAAAGAGTTTTTATACTGTTGTAGTCTTTCTTGTTGTGAACAATTTCATAGCACATACATTTCCTCCCCACCCTCTTCTTCTTTCTGGAAACAAGATGCACAATCCAACTGAAAATAAGTAGTTTTAGAGGGAGAAGAACAGGAAATTTGTTGCCTTTTTTCTACCTGAGAAAAATACATTAAATAATGCTGACTACCTTTTTATATCAAAAATAAAAACTAATAAACAGGTCTTCCTCCTGTTTGAATTAAGACCGTGCAACAGAGCCATTCAAAAAGACTCTTCTGATACTGTCAAGCTTTTAAGTCCAGTAGAAGTGCAAAAAGGAAGCTAGTGGCTTTTAAACCTTTAATCACCAAAATAAAAGGAACTAACTTTAGGCTTTTTCTGGTAAACCCCATCATTTTTCAGTAAAAAAAGGTCAACCTCAG